AGAGAGAGAGAGAGATTTTATATTACAAAAAAACCAGATATGACAAGACACTTCTGTTCAAATATACTTTAATACTGAAATAATATTTATAGAATATAATTTAAATGTTTGTTTCCAGAATTGAAAACCATAGCCAAAGTCAACTCAGAATTGGTAGAATAACTCGGCCTTGAGACCCTGTGGAGGCAAGTTCTTCAAGCAAAATCGGGTTATTAAAAAGGTCCTAGAAAAATCAATTTTTAAGTACATCATTCTTCAAAATATGTTTCTATATAATGGTTGTTTTTTATGACGATTTGTGAAATTTTTGTATTTATTTTTCTATTTGTCCTTTTTTTGGAGTTTTCTGAATTGGTTCGAGCAATACATCAATATTTTCAATATTCTGACTTCTATATGTCTTAACTGTTTTTTCTATCGTAATCATGTTGTTTATCACTACTTCAGCTTTTTACTATTTTCTTCTTTTTAATAATTTTTTTGAAAGTTTTTGGATTTTTGAGCACTTTTTGGATTCGTTCGCTCCTTGTGCGAGTCCACTCAGACTTGCCTGAGTTTCTATGCTCGGACAGGGCCTGATTCTTGAACACGAGCCGAGTTTTTTTACATGGGTTCTTTCACAGGACCGTAAAGTGCACAGCAGTAGCATGCAGCATCTGTACGAGGAAGGCCCCAAGATTGAACCATAATAAGTTTTGTTTTATTATTTTATATTAAATGGCAACTGTATATAATAGATCATATGTACTTCAGTCATGTCAACATGAATTTCAATGTGAGAGATATATCATATGTACTTCACTCACGTCAACATGAATTTCACAGTGAGGGATATATCACACACGTCAACATGAATTTCACAGTGAAGGTCATGCATGTCAATGTGCAGCCATTACTTTAATATTGATAACATACTGATATATTGTATGTTATATAAAAAATTCCATTCCTTCACACAATAATTCTTGTCCTATGTGGTAAACTGCACTCACCAAGGTGGGGCGGTTTTGGGTTTGAGCTCCCTCAGTGTACGAGGGGCTTAGGCGGCATTGTTTTATCATAAAAAATAGGGCACAGTGTGTCTACAAATCCCTAACCTCTATGAGAGGTGTCAATGCACATTAAACAAGTTATAAAATGACTGATAAATATGGTACAAGTGTCGGGTTTGTCCACGCCTTTCAATAGATGTCTACGTGTCTACAGGAGACAAAAAAGATAATATGAACTGCTTTTTTGTCTTGCTTAA